GTTCCTTTGAGGACATAGGCGAGTCCTGGAGGAGGAAAAAGGACATGCTAAAACTGCTATTTCTTGCAACTTGAAAAAGCTTTATCTTTTTTCGGCCGAGTTCGGCAGGGGTGGCACTAACGTTATCTTACAGTCCAATGGCCCTAGTTTACGGACCAATAGACCGTTCGTGCTCGTACGTGCTCGTTTTCTCTAAAAATTTGTTCAAATTAGCTCAAATTTCTCCCTTTTTCTATGAAGATATTACATATTTTTCTGTTACTTCAGAAATAAACCTCGTATTGTCGTAATACTCAGGGCCTAGGGGTTTCAAAGCGTGCTGATTTCATTTCCAAGCAAATTTTTGACGTGCCAGGGGCGGAACCAGTTCAAAAAAGGGGGGTAAAATGAGATTTTTTTGATTCGCATCAAATTTGGCAGAGAGAGGTTTCAAGACATGCTGATTTCATTTCCGAGCAAATTTTTGACGTGCAAGGGGCGGAACCAGTTCAAAAAGGGGGGGGGGGTAAATAAGATTTTTGGCTGATTCGCGTCAAATTTGGCAGAGAGGGATTCCAAGACATGCTGATTTCATTCCCGAGCAAGTTTTTGACGCTACAGGGGTGGAACCAGGTCAAAAAACGGGGAACGTATAGTTTTGGCTTATCAGCCAGAAATCTGACTTTCCCCCTTTTTTGACCTGGTTCCGCCCCTTTGTTGTCAAAATCTTCTTCAGAATCAGAATCAGCATGTTTAAAAATCTCTATATGCCAAGTTGCGAGTAAATAACTCGTAAATTTAACTTTCCCCCCTTTTTTGTTCCTGGTTCCGCCCCTGTTGCGTTATTTTTTCTTTCAGAAATGAAATCAGCATGCCTGAAAACCTTACTAACCAATGTTTGAGTCAGATCCTTGTTAGATTTTGCGCACAAATTAATTTTGGCCACTTTTTGGCGGTTTCGGCCCACTGTGGGCCGTCGCTTCCCGTCCCGGTCAGCGTGACCAGCGCAGTGGTCCAGCCGGCCGTCCAGGTGGCTGCCGCGCCGTTCCCCAGCGGGGCGTGCCGGCCCGGGCAGCCATTTCCACGGAAGCTGCCGTATTCCACTCGTTGCGCAAAATGAATCACATTATCGTCATTCCGACCGACAGTGTCCATTGTGCCCCGGCATGCCTGCTGCAGCGCCCGGCCCCGCCTTCCTCCTCCACGAGTGACTGGCAAAGCCTTTTCGATTTGAGCGCCGCGGCGGCCGCTCCGCGCGCTCCGCCGCCGTCAGGGCCTGCTTGGCCTTCACCCAGTTCAGCCGCGCAGATGGTGTGGTCGGGTCGGGCCGAGAGCAGCGCCGGCCGCTTCCCGAACAAGGATGACCTAATACACCGTCCGGAAAACCGGTGAAAAAGAGGGAGAGAGGGGCGGTCGTTATTAAGACGCGATCGCATCTTTTTCAGCCGCTAAACTCGCGCAGTGTGAAAAATAATCATAAACGAAAATAGTAATAACACCTGCGGTGCAACGTACACGACGCACCAGAGTTGGCCGACGCGAGAAAAAGCAGGCTTGATTTATTTGAGAGCGAACCGCCTCCTGTCTTGGCCCAGGTCGGGGGGCAAGGGGGTTGGTGGAGGGTGGAGAGAGAGAGAGAGAGACAGAGAGAGAGACGCGGGTATGCGGAGTAGCGGTTCAGCTAACGTCGCTGTGCGCCATAAGATACTCTGCTAGAAATGTAAATCCCCCCGCGAAGCAAACAGTTCCGCCCGCTGGCTCGGTCCGCATTTCCCCTCTCCCCGGATTGAGAACCAAGTGTTGGGCAAGGAAAAAAAAAACTAACGACTAACTGCGAGTGCAAAAACGCATACTAAGGTGTTTGAGAGGCTTACTGACTTGTTTATGTTTGCTCTCCAGCACTGGTCTAGAAATCACAAGCACTAGGTGTTTGATAATTGTAGCATTTAGACTTTGCGACGAACGACGTGTTTCATATTATGAGAACCGGGCTTTTTGAGTGTTCTTTTCGGGAATACTGCCGGATGACGAGATCCATTATTGAAAATCAATAGTGATTTCAGCCCATTTCGTATGTTTCTTGATTTACGACCGTCGAGAAAAGATTCCTAAAATTTGACTTTGAAGTGGGACAGTCGAGTGAGTAGCACCAAATGATATTAAAAACTAACGATTTTGTAATAAAGTTTTTAGACTTATGAAGAAGAAGTGTAGCAGATAGTTAATTTATGAAGGTGTGCAGGTGTTTTAGGCGGAGACATGTTTTCACACATTTTGTCACAAGTTCCAAAATTTCAATAATTTACTTCTGGTTTGATCCGTTTGTGTACCCCGTTTCAACTCCATTCTAACTAGGAGCACATCTCCCCACGCCAGTGGGTTGTCCCTGCCCCCCGGCGCGCCGCCGCCGCTGCAGCTGCAAGAATGTTGATGGGGCCGGGTCATTGTGCCGGGGTGTTTGCCGCGACACCTCGCCCGTCACCTGGTGACAGTGTCACGTGACAGTGTCACCTCGCGGGTGCCACCCACCCGGCCTCGCCTTATCGCCGCCCGGTAATGGTCTCCCGATAAGAGCCGCACTCACCTCACGCCATCGCTAAGTGACAAGCGTATGGAAATGTGTCGCCGCGCACACTGCAGTGTCGCTTGGTGTGGTGCGGGAGCGTGGAGAAATAACGACCAGCCACTAGCCACCACATACTCGGAAGGCTGGATTTCCTGGCCATATTCATTTGCACTTCTGTACAGCAAAAATTGGGATGCTTATTTTTTGTTGGAATGGAAGAGTTTAATTTCTAATTGACATGAAATGGGATAGGTTAATAATCACTGGCAAAATTTGGTCATCACGCCATCCCGTGCGCTCTGTGTGGGGAATTATGTACTTTTAGTGGTACAGTAAGTATCAGTATCACATGGAAGCTAAAGCGAGCAGACGAAAGTTTGCATTTACAAGTTGCTCGTGAGAATGAATGATGAGTTGTTATTTTTTTACTTCCATCACTAGGTCGACCTGCTCACCCACTCTTCTATACCCCAGGACTCGTTCGCTCGGCACCACACAGTGATCTGAGCGGTACGCAGTGCTGGATAGGGTCACAGGGTTCACGTGTTAGCTCTGTCACCTCCCCCTCCACCGCACCCCGCCTGCCCCGTCCAAATGACCTAACACAGCCATCGATTCCGATCTGCCGACTTGGGCCGGCCCGTTCGCTGCAGGTGAGTCAGGCCCTGCGATTAGTCCTTGTCCAGTGGCGTGGCGTGGCCGCGGCGATCCCAGCGGCCAGATAGCGGTTTGTTCCAACAAACGACGACAAACACGTGCCGTTCACGAAAAAAATAAAAAGTCGTCGCCATTCTTGGCATTTCTTTTCCGAGGGAGCGCCGCAGCACCCAGTGAGCCTGTTCGATCTCTTCTGGCGCGCTGCCGGACCGGAACCGACCGAATAGTTCGCCAAACCAGAACGCGACGGGGATATGCCGCTCGGGGGCCCCGTGCCGCTCAAGTACAGTCCGATGCAGCCCGCGGGCTGGGCCCGGGCCAGACCCTTCGACCACTGGCAGCCTCCACTACTTCCGCTCGCTATCAAACAGGTATATTACATGCAGTCCGCAGCTAAATCAATTCGTGCAGTAACGGTCGCCCCCTCCGCGCAATCTTCCTTCTCTCTCTCTCTCTCTCTCTCTCTCTCTCTCTCTCTCTCTCTC